TTTACATGTTCTGCTCCTCCAAGACGCACTTTTGAGTGTAAACGCCCCATATTGCATATTCATTGCAGAAAAAGTACTAAATGGATAATTTAGCACGTTTTAAAAACCAAATCCTTTTAGCACGCTGTTGATAGATCAGTTTGTACATTTTTTAGCATTCGCAGTGAAATAGCTCACGTTTTTATACACGCAAACCTTTGATAGAACCGGCCCTAAGAGTCCGGGAGGAATGACACTGATGAAGCTTTAGCTACGATGGTGGAGGAGGGGATGCAGGTGGGTTGAAACAGAGTCATCTGAATGAAGTCACAGCGCATCCACCACCTGCACACAGGAGACAACAAGTGGATCGGAGGCCTTTCTTAGATGAAAGTTGGATGCCGATTGGCTTTCCTAGAGGTGTGATTCAAAGCTGATTGGCTGTGTCGTAGATGGATGTAGGAGAGCAATCGGTTTCTTCAGTTTAACTTCCACCTAGGCTCAGTTTGTATCACATAACATCAACCTGCCCAATGACTACGGGTGGAAATGAGCAATCTTGCTATAACCTGGCACCTGCCTCTTTCCTGCATTTTCCCTGTGTGAAATATTTTCATTACTCTGTTGAATACCTATTTTTTCACTTGCAGATTATTTATTTTTTTTAAATCAAATAAATAAAAACAAAGAACTGTCCCTTTACATCAGCTGCCTGTGCTGCCAGGGCAGAACCATGCATGTCTTCATCAGTAACCGTTCACGCAAATTAAATCTATTAAAAGGCTTTGCTTTGTCAAAACCCTACTAAGACCACATCCTATGTGTTTTTTTTTCTGCAGGTGGCTTAACTGGCATAGTAGCTGTAGTGTGGGGAGGGGATTATGGGTGTGGGCACCTTCTCTCTCTCACTCCGTCTTTTCAGAAAAGTGAAACTTACAGGCTCATTCATCATTACTTTGCGCTCAGAGCTTTCCACGCCACGTTTTTATCAACCCAACTTTAAAGAGGTAAGAAAAAAAGAATAATAATAATAAAACGAGCTGCTGCTTTAACTTTCCTTTAGATTTTCCTGCAAAATACTTTATTTCACGGTTCTTTAGTTTCAATCAAGTTTTTGCGAGGTTACTTTTAGTTTTTTTAAATAATAAATCAAAACGCAGATTATTTTTGCTCGTTCCTAACTGTACATTTCATTTGCATATATTTAGTACGAATTTAGTCTATTGCAGTCGTTTAAATCGGAAATGCACGGTTGAATTGCGATTTTTCTTCTTTCTCTGATTAATTAGATTGACTAGAAACATTTAGAGCGACCTAGATGTATTTTGTCTAGATGTTGCTCTCAGACCTTATTAAAAGCGCCTGTATCTGTGCATAAAACAAAACAGGTTATATATGTAACGGTAGGGCTGAACTAAGGCATAAAAAGATGAAACATATATGATAACCGCCCAACAGCCTCCTATAAAACTGTTATGACCCACGTGACTCTATATCTATATCTATATATATATATATATACACACACATATATATATATATGTGTGTATGTATATATATATATATATATATATATATATATATATATATATATATATA